GGAAACTTTTGAGCATAAACTCGAGAAGCCAATAAACTATTTTTATGACATTCTTCAAGGGTGAAAATCATGTCAATACGCTCTTCCCTTGGATAATTCTTCATTTTCACTTAGCAACACAATAATAATATTAAAATAACGACTAGCACGTCCCCAATTACAAAAAACAATACCACTCTAGCTATCAAAAAGAGACTTTGCAGTCTAAACTGAGAAATAAAATAAATTATTTGACATGTGTAAATGGCATAAGCAACTTATATACATTGGAACCTTAAATTAAACAACACCAAATGGTGCACAGAACGACTATTTGACGTATTTTATAAAAAGGCAAAAACGTAGCTATTAACATCCTAATACCATTCGATAGGTAATTAAAAATTGCATTTCTTGGTAAATAAAAAAATATGGGGTTGTATTTAAATTAATCAAGTTAGAGTCACTTAAAGTTCTTATTTGATTAGTTTAAATTTGTGGACACCCTGTATAACATGGTAAGTTTATTATCATTGGAATATAAAATATTATATCTTGTTACACTTCACTATAAATTACCCTTACATAACTTAAATACATCTAAAGTATTTGACACGTGAAAATTAGATTATAATTTGATTAAATTCGTATTATTTAAAAAACATTTTATGCATCTCTCAAAACTCCCTACAAGCTAAGAGACTGAAACATAAAAAACGGAGAAAACATCTTGCACCGAGCCGAATACAAAGGACCAAAATGTCTGTTTAATCGATCTGACTCAACCAATGAAGCACTTTATATATAAACTGGAGAACATCATATATCCACACGAAACGCATTTGCAAATACAAATAACTGGTGTCAGACAAGAATTAGACGCAAGATCAATTAATATAAATACATTAAAATGTTAACCAAAAACAACGTACAATTAGAATAGAACAAATAAATAAAAGTAGCTCTAATTCCAGCAGCTGCAAATCATTAGTGCAAAGAAAAAGTTGTTGCAAAGTAGAAATACGCCCAAAAGCAATGCCAAAAACTTTTAAAAAATTTAACCAACATTAACGCACTTGATAATTCGCAAAGAGAAATAAAATTCACTAAGAAACTGGCAGTAACTAACAATCAAATGCGCGGTGGCTCTAATTATTATTTCCCACATAAAATCAGGAAGCGTAACAAGTCGGAACTAAAGAGTTCATCAATTTTGGAAAAATTAGAAAAATAAAAAATAACGGAGTAACGATGTAACAATAAATAAGATTGTTCTAAGAAACACTTTGAAACCCGAGCTAGAGTTGTATTAAACAAAGCCAAAATTAATATTTACTAAAAATGAACATGCTAATGCAAAAAATCAGTAACGATTATATTGAAGTTGTGAATGAAAAAAAATACATACTGATACAGGCTATGTTATTTCAAAAGCATTTTAAAAATATTAAAATAATGATATTTTCTGTATTTTTTAACGTAATCGAATTAACAAGTACAAGAATTGATTTTCGAGTATTTTGTAAAAGTCCCATATTATGTCCCAAGTTCTGGGAACCGTCTTGGCTCCGTTTTATTTCTGTCTTATCATTTTCATTCCACCATACATTTTAAACGAAGTCATGATTTTTTACTTGCCATGCACCTCAAGATGTATTGCAAATATATTGTTTCAGAAAAAATTACATGGTACCTCAATTCGACGAGTCGCCCAGAGATCAAATACGTACTCCAAAAGTAATTCAGTAAGTTTAAATTAATTTCGAAATTTCGCTTTGAGTTTCAAGGCGTTTGCAAACTTGAAAATAGCCAAATCAAATCACAATATTTCAAATGAAAATTACAAGGAAAAACAGGAACAAATTCAAAACCTCAGTTAAGAGTCATGAAAGTCGTGATTATTAATTTTCTTCTCCAATTTATCAATAATTCAAATACTATCTGCCGTTAATAAAAAATATTGGAAATAAAGTACATTTTATTCCGAATATCATAAAAATAAAGTGGTTTTCTTGTTCAACCTTACTTTTCATCCACTGAGGGGTAGCTAATACTTTATGTCGTTGGAGTGAGCGAAAGCATTTCCAATTGTGTCATTTTATTGGATTATTGGTTCATTTTCTTGTAACGTTCTTCGAATGAATATGTGGCATTGGAACTGCTTTCCAATATTCCTTGGCCATGGACTTACATGACATAAATAAAATTTCCCAAAATAATAAAATTATTAAGTTATTGGTTATTATAGTTCGTTAGTTATTAGATTCGATAACCAAGTTTTGAATTCCAAACCCGATCGCAATTTCACGTATTGCTGAATCGTATTTTCATTTCTTGTTGAAACAATATGGAACCATCGCAATCTAGTTTAGATCCGATTTTGCCCAGAGCTTGTTATTTCAAACAAAAGAGCTGTTGCAGGTTTCCAGTATTTTAAATTGGAAAATATATTTTACAGAACATTAAACTGCGAAGAATGAAATACTTCACAAATGGCACACAATAGAATGGGAATTAAAATTTCCCGTTCAACAGCAAATAGGTTTTAATAAATTAGATTTAATTCGAATATTCCATCGCTCAATAAATATTTGCGATCTGCCGTCGACTTATTCATCCAGCTTGTTTTATACTGTCGTATATTGTCAGCAGGAGATGAGATCTCCATGCAACAGAAAATGAGAACAATGAAATTGAATGAAAGTCTTTAACATTTTGCCGTATTCAATGTCTGCCAAATCTTTTCCGTGAAATCAACTCAGACTTTTTACAGATATAAATTCCAACACAAAATGAAATGCAAAGATGTAAACTATCAGAATATGCTTTCAGCTTCGAGAGCCAGACACTTTGAGCAAAATTTAGAGTATATAAAATCTAGCATCATGTCTAAGTTTCCTAGTAGAAGAACTTTATACGGTGTAGTGTCAAATTACTCGTAAAATGCAAGAATGGGTGGTGTTTAGTGTAAACGGCTAAAGAATCAAAAATATTTTCATCAGACCGTTTCATTTAACTAAACTTCTCATGAATACATGAATAAATTGTCCATCATCATGTACTTATATTATATATATAATATATTAAACGGAAAGTCCGAAAGCCCTGTAAGCCATCACATGAGTTTGTTCAAGTTGATTAGTATTATTTAGATTGGTAGTACGAAATTATGGAAACTGCGATCCTTAGTTCTACATAATGCCGAATTAATTTTGCCGCTAAACTGAGTAGTTTGTTGTTCGAGTTTGCCTGATATTCTATAAAGCTTTGTCTATATTTGCATATCAAAAATCAGTTGAATAATAAATTATTTGATGCAATATTAAATTGATTTTAATGTAAACCCGGGGTACAATGGTAGGATCGGGGATTAATGCAATCATTCATTTTAAATGTTTATTTTTAATTAACTAATTTAAATAACATTTAAGCACTGCCGTAAGTAAACAAGAAATTGTTCCTAGTGTACGTGAGGAACTTTAGGAACAGTTACTTACGAAAAAAAATATTTGCTGCAAGAAGCGGTATGCTAATTAATTTTTAAATGTTACACATTTTCTGGTTGTCAAAACATACATTTGGCTATGTTTGCCAAAATAAATATGCTTTTCTCGCAAAACGCGTAAACAGAAGTTAGCAGATATTTTTTAGAAATAAATGCCAACATGTTTACTTCTTAATCAGGTTTTACAATAAGAAATTTTCATCTGATGAAAAAATGCTGCAATTTATATGTGCATTCACTTTTGTATTTCGCAGCTTCAAATAACTTAAATGATTAAAACATAGTGGTCCTTATTGAACTGCTCCATAGGAGGAAATTCTCGAAAATCATTAATGAAGGAATGGGAACAGGCTAAATATATATAAAACAATTACAAAGTTGCAATTTCGGATGAAACTTGCATATAAGAAATTGGTAATTAATTTATTGATTATAAAGGTGTTAAATTACTCACCTTCAAAATTGCTTTATTGTTGCCAATCGCAACAAGAACAACTATGAAATTTGAAAGTTTTCTCTGGACAATTTTGAAGTAAACTTACTTTAAGGCAAATAAGTAAATAAAAACTTGTTCAGATGCTGAAAATTTCCTATATTGAGCTTAGTTAAATAGAAAAGTATGAAAAGGTTTGTAAAAAAAATTCGTCATCACATGAGTCTCGAATGAGTGCGATGCGTGCGAAAATTTTCGGGCAAAGATAGAAACGATTAAAAACCGATGCTCTACAACTGGATCACATTCCTTAAATGTTTCAATGTTTTGCGCCATTTTCCAGCTCCAATTTTAAGTAAGAATAAGTTTATTTGTGTTGTCATAAAATTTCTTCTACAGCCATTTTATAGTGTCTTATATTCACAGTGCCGCAGCGATGGAATTAACTAACTTGATTGCTGTATTTTAGTCAATCAAGAAATTAGGGATTAAAAATTTTGAGAATAATAAAAAAATACAATAAGTTTTGCAGTGCTTTAGATGATTTATTTAAAATGCTCGTTGTTATTGTGGTACTTTGGACATCCCGGGCATCGTTTTACATATATGGGAAAACCACTACATTCTACTGTGGATGCAGCTATTCCTGTTGCGAATATATTCTGCGGTTAAACCAGCTTGCTAATTTGACAAGCTCGTTGGCTTAGTGGCTTTCACTAACATCATATTTTAATATATACTATATTCCCCGTACTTGCCTTGTCACTTTATATTTTATTGAACGCCTTGTTTTATAGACTTTGATTCAATAGCAGTAAGATAAAACTGCTTAAAGCTACACTTCTGCTTATTTTCTGGACATAAACTGCAGAAAGACTCCGGAATCAATCAATGCAATGGAAGCAGGCACATAAAGCTTTTATTTCTCTTCTCTTTATTAAAGCGGTGATTGAAGTGAAATAATTTAATGCAAAAAACTCTTAGAGTTTTTATTTAAGCGGAGCCTTTATCTCGAGATCAGATATGAATTTTTGCACAAAGCAATAACAGTCGTTAGTTTGCTATCTAAGTATTTACATTTCTACTCGCCTAGAATTTTCAATTATATTTCTACCCTCTTTTAAACTTATTTGTTCCAATCCAGCGGCAGCAAATTATCTGAGGATATTTATTAAAATCTTGGTTAAAATGTTAATTAATTTTCTTTCAATCTTTTACAAGGAATCCGTCGAATTATTAATTTAAATTGCGCCTCAATTATTATAAATTGAGCAGAAGCTCTAAGAGCTTCTTTAGGCATGGAAACCTAATTTTGTCATTTTAGTTGGTAACGGTTGGCTATTTAGGTAATATACTGTCAATTGTTGCTAACTGAAGTTTTTCCGTTTATTCTCTGAATAAGGCAGTTTTCCTCAACTTTTGTTTATACTTTAATTTGCTTCAGTTTCCACTGGTAATAATGAAGATTTTTTAAAGTGTTTTTCAGTCTAGTCTAATCAACTTGAATAAATCCTGTACACCCGATCGAGCATGTTGTTAAGTGTTTAGATGTTCTTAAAACATATATTTTTTTATGAAACATTTTTTGAAAACGTGGCTTACTTCAAATGACTATTCAAATGAAAGTTCTATTATTTGGTATATTATGATGTTTATATTATTGCTAATCAAGTTAATATCGTGCGTAAAAAGCAGTTACTTAAATATTTATATAGGCGGAACGAGTGCACTAAACTGCGACCCACTAATTTATGAAGAAAATATAATAGCTCAATCTGTTCTGCTGATCTAAATTACACAGTTTTGGAGAGATTTCTAGGACGACAAAATTAACCCGGTGTGTTGTAAAAAGTTAGTGAAGGCTTAGCATATATAAAAATAAATTGATTTACTGGATTGTCAGATATTTTCTTGATGTTAAAGCAGTAAATAGTAAAGCTCTAAAAGTCTTTTTAGGCAAATCTGGTTTCTTTTTGGCTTTAATTTGTGTCTTTTTGCATGAAGTTCAAAACATATCTTAAGGCAAATAAAATCGTCCACTTTATTAAAAGTCACATAGAATGATCACCAGTTACAACTTTAATTTGTAGCCCGAATATCATCGCATCCGTAAATTATATTATCGTACAGAGAACTTGTAATCCAGCATTGCAAACATCTAGAAGTTTAAAAGTTTGTCAAGAACTTTGAACATTTTTCAAGAACTTTCAGTCGTTTTTCTAGAAAGCTCTTAATTTGCGTCACGTAGCGACAGTGCTGCTAGTTTAGAAGAACAGATATCACTTTTTTGTTACCTTAAGTAGATTTGTAAGGCAATATTGCCAGCATTTTTTGTCTTAGATTCTATTTTGCGTTACGTTTTAACGTTAAGTTTTATTTTGCACGTACACATTTAAAGTATAACATTTTATAAATTATCAAATTGACGCAAGTAACATAGAAGATGTTTAAGAAATGTATTTGCAGCAAATGCAAAGCAGTCAGTTATATTAGATGGATATAATGAATAAAATATACAAACTGTTCTTCACATGAAAGTTTCGAGAAAATATCAGGGCACCAACATGAATTTAGATTTTTCAAAATTCTGATTTGCGTGTTAATCGGGTATATTCTACACTATTAATAGTATTATATTTAGTACAACGTATAAATATAGTATCTGAATCCCTCCATAGCATGCCAAATGTAAAAGATTGATATAACCGAAAGGAAACTAATAATTTCTTTAAAACAAATAATTTTTTTTGAAGCAGTAAAAATCTGCGATCTTTATTGCAAGTTAGCTAGTGGAAAGTTAGTTCGAACAACAAACTTAAATGTATTTATTATTAAATATGTATCTATGTAATTTATGCATACAGCATGTCAGCATTAAGAATTTACCACCCTTCTTAAATCTTTACTTTTCAATCGATTTTACGGTCGTCCGTAAACTTTCATGATGTTTAATTTCAAAAAGTACGATTAGTGCAAATTTTAGAGACAAATGGCAACCCATTCTCATTTATAATAGCTTACAATCCATGTCGACCATGTTCTCTATGTGTGTATAAAAAAATACAGTGTGCAATATTCTCATCAAAAGACTTAAATTAATTACTTTGTTAAACACGGTTCCAAGTATAAAATATCTGTATCAGACGATTATAATTGCGAAAAATACAAAATGTAATTACTATTATTGCAAGTCTATTAATTGCTAATATTTACTTATCATTAAAATGAGTAAAGTAAGTGTGGCGAAACGAAAAACAAATTGAATATGAGTATTGAATGAACGAATGAATATCCTAAAACCAATGTTTCGTGTATAATAATTTATGATTATTATATTGATTTTTCTGCTTGCTCATCTTTGCAGAATAAAGAAAATTGGTAGAAATTGATATTACCCCATTTTATGAGAAATTCGATAGACACATTTTTACAAAAAATTTCCTAATAATACTTTTTGAAGTTTGACAACAACAAAAATTAAGTAGTTAGCCCTGACTGGAGATTAATATTGAAAGCACTTACTAGTAAAATGCGCATTTTCAATAGCTAGATCATGAAAAAGAATAATTAAAATTGTTCAAAAAGTAAAGATTTTACAAAGGTTCTTAACCCGGACACACTGTATATGCTCTATTTTTTATTATATCTGATGCAAATATTAAACACTTAGATGGCATAGCAACTGTATGCGCTAAGTATTTTATTTCTCTGTGATTTTTAATAAAATATAGTATCTCCAAGACATTGTTTCCACCCACTTACATCGAATAAATCTCATTCATCACAATCCACATATACTTAGCTCACTCGCCCTTTTAAAAGTATTAAAAACTCTAGAATGCTGTGCCGTTCATTGGCCATTTTAACGAGAATTAACCTATCACCTAAACCTATTAGATAGACCAAAAACGAAACTCTCTTATACATGTAGATAAACTCAAAATGACTTATTTTAAGTGTTTATATTTTATTGAAAGTCAAATAACTTATCTACTAAAATGGTAAAGATTACTTAATAATATTTAAAAAAACTGTTGTTAAATTGTTTTTCTTTAATTTTCACTAAGTAATATGCAACCCGTGTATGTAGTAGCCCCAATAACCCAATATTTAAGTTGTAGTCGCAAACCGTAAGCCGCAAAAGCAAAGGAAAAATTTGAAGATTTTTTTAAACGCGTTTATTACCGATATTTGTAAAAACGGCCTCGTTATAAATTTGAGACCTGATTAGCATGCGTTCTGCAAAATACACGTTTCAGGCATATAAAGCTGTTTACCAGAACTGAGGCAATACTGAATTCTGAATATGGTTTTTAGGACAAACAGCTTTTTTTGCCTAAATCTCCATTTTGGTTTCCAGATATGAATAACACAATGAACATGGTGGATGCGGAAAATCGCGTAGTGTTGAACGTGGGAGGAATTCGACATGAAACCTACAAAGCTACGCTGAAGAAAATTCCTGCCACTCGACTTTCTCGACTCACCGAAGCGTTGGCAAATTACGATCCCGTTCTTAACGAATATTTTTTTGACAGGCATCCTGGAGTCTTCGCTCAAGTTCTGAATTATTACAGGTGATATTTCGAATTAATTTTTAATTAATAAATATTTACATTTACTTAGTAAATAGGAAAAAGCTGCTCAAGAAATGGAATTAGGGAAATAATTATATGCGTGAATCAAAATTGGATCTACTATTTTTAGATTAAATTTTACTGATGAATCAAAAATTGAATAATTATATGTTCCTAGGACTGGAAAACTTCACTACCCTTCAGATGTTTGTGGTCCTCTCTTTGAAGAGGAATTAGAATTTTGGGGCCTTGATGCAAACCAAGTAGAACCCTGTTGTTGGATGACATACACCCAAGTAAGCTATTTTAAATATTATTTCAAATTTATTGGTATCAGGTCAGCAAATATTTATATATAATCATAACCTCATGTTACAAACTAAAAAATATATCTTTGTTAAACTTATGGTAGAAAGCTTAAAACTCGAACGTAATTTTTAATAATTAATTCAATTACGTTTTAAAATTTAGAATTTTTTTTGCTAATTCAGTTTCAGCACGCATTAATCAATACAGGATTAACATTTAAAGTAGCTTTTCCAAAAGCGGAACACTTACAATAATCCTGTATGCTTTCAACGGGTAATCGGATTTATCTAAATTGTGTTTTTTTACCACCAGGAATAAATTATTTTTATTAGTTCAGTTGAATGCCAAATTGTTGCAAAACCAATATTGAGAAAATATCGTTATAAAAGCTTTACTTTTCGGTTATTCTTTAATTTTAATTAAATCTTAATATCCCAACATATCACTAGGACCGTTCCGATAAGGATCACCCAAAAAGTGCAGAAACATCGCTTGCGTCATTCAGATTTTCTCAATATGAAATTAACAAATTTTACTTTTGTGAAAATATTAGTGCGAAACAATGTTTCTCATATCTTTTGGGTAGCAGGTTACGAATGAAAAGCATCCCTAGTTAGGATATTTTCTTTCTATTGAAAATCTGATATGTCTATTAAGTAAATTTGAATATTTACAGATAACCGGGAAGTACATGCATACAGGGTGGTTTTTTTAGTGCGAGAGAGGCGATTATTCCGTTGGTGTTGAACTTTCGAAAAATAGTTTCATATAAAAGTTGTTGACACACATTTTAAAAATATCTTATATAATACAGAGTGTCTCAAGAGAGTGATCAAAGTGTATTTTTTAAGTAGAACTACCAATTTTTCACTAGCTCATGGGATGCGGCTTGAAACGCTGCATATGCACCGTCAATTGTTTTTTCTTACTTGAGACGTTGGCAGATTATCGCCATTTTAGTATAATTTTGCATAAAAACATGGTATCTAAAAATTCATTGTAGAGGGAAAAAAATCAGTTAAAGATACAAAAAATACGTTTTCAATCACCACAGATCCGTTAAGAATTATATTGAACCAAAATATCAATACATTGTACAGGGTGTTAACAATGTGGGCTTCAATCTAAAACTTTTTAACGCAATATAACTTTTGTTTTTCAAATGGAAGTACCTGTATAATAATACGTCATTAGATAGACAATTCACAAAGTTACAAATTTGCATTTACACTTTAAGCTGTGAAATCAACTGTTTTCAAATTATAAATTATTTTGTTTAAAAATTTCAAAAAGTTGTTACATTTTGTAAGGTAGCTATGGAATTCATAATAAAGTTACAAGTTATAGTTATAAATAATTAAATTCTTAAAAAAGTGTCAACATTTGATGATCCTTGAGATACCCAATGAAGAAAAGTGCAATGTTTTATAAAATGCATGGAATTTCACAGCAAAAAATGAAATAAAACTGCATACGTCATAAAAATAAAAATATGAAATTACTAGCTGACTCGGCAAACGTTGTATTGCCATATAAATTATTCCTATGGTTTTTTTTTCATCTCGAGTGGGCGGTTTGCCCACTTGAGATTTTTTTTAAGTTTTATTTTAAATTTATTGAATTACTAATATAGCTATTAAAAGATAGGGGTTTATGGCAGCACCCATATCACTTAGGGAATAAAAAATATGTGTGAACGAGGTGACCCATGAACAGGCGCACCTCTCTCTATCCACCTCCCTGTCTAATGTATTGATATTTTGGTTCAATAGAATTCTTAACGGATCTGTGGTGATTGGAAACACGTATTTTTTTGTATCTTTAACTGCTTTTTATTGCTTCTACAATTAATTTTCAGATACCATGTTTTTAAGCTAAATTTTACTAAAATGGCGATAATCTGCCAACCTCGCAAGTGCGAAAAAACAATTTATGGTGCATATGCAGCGTTTACAGCATACAACATGAGCTAATGAAAAATGGGTAGTTCTATTTAAAAAAATACACTTTGACCTTCCCTCGCTTTTCTGAGACACTCTGTATCATATAAGATATTTTTAAAATATGCGCACTTTGTGCGTCAACAACTTTTATATGAAACTATTTTTCGAAAGTTTAACACCGTCGGAAATAATGGACTCCATCGCACTAAAAAAACACCCTGTATATTAGTAGTAAATTTCTGTGGCTTGATTATAAAAACCTGAAATCCAACTGCTACATTTGTGTGCTACATTCAAGTGGATTCAAGGTCTTTAAACTTTCTTTTCCCCCTTCAATTCTTCAACTTAAATAAAAAAAACCATATGGGCTCTCTAGAAAGTTGTCTTTAATCGGAAAATGCAAACTAATATAGTCTGAAAGCGCTATTCTATGATATCTGATTTTCATGTTTTTACACTTATTACAAAATTGTATTCAATTGGCAATGTCGTTTGCAAAGCAAGCAAATAACCGTTTTGAAATGCAGTTTATTTCCCTGCTGGATACTTCGTCATTTGGCCATATTTCTGCCCCTAGTGTACCACACGATTTTTCTATAACGTAAGATATTCACTCAAAATATAGTTCATGCATTTTCAAAGCACAAGACAATTGTATTTTCGATGGGGATTGCCGTTAGTAAATCTCTACGATAGCAAACAATAGTAATTTAATAATTTTTTGCAGATTAAAAATTCGAAAATTGCAGCGTTCCAAAAAAGCGAAAAATAGTAGTCGGATATCATATTGTACCGAGGATGGCCGAGTATCAAACTCTTTCTTCAGCTTCCAACTTTTATTCACCTCGGTATCACTTTAAATACGTAACAGGAACAAACTGACTTCAAAATTACCGTCAACTTCATAAACAATAACAATAACAAACGGAAAACTCGCTCTTCCGACTCGCGGGGTTTAACCTCTTCTGAACTCAGTCGCTACTGTCACTTCACTTCCCCCGGTCTGGTTCTCGTATTCGCTTATATAGATTCCTTCTGGTAACCCAGATGGATCTCGAAATCTCCAGAACAGGTGCGAAACTTCCCGCTTGTCAGTGTCATATTTGACAGTAAATGGGGCCCAAATGGAGCTCCCATTTACTGAAATACCATGAATTT